ATAAGAATATTTTTGAAATAGTAATATTTTACTGATACAAATCCTACTAATTAACCCATAGCTAGTAGGGGAGAAGAGGAGGGTTCATGCCTTTCCCAAGAGTATTTGCACGTAAATAAATATAATGAACCCAACTGGAATTGAAACTCGGCCGAGCCGTTGCCCATTAAACCATCCCCACATCGAAACTTACGACGACTGATATTCCCAAGCAGTCACCCATTTAAATGTCTAACTAGGTTCGATGTTAATTAACTTCGGTGATCGTGCGAGAACCGATATTTTAACATGATATGGCCGTAAACATATTTTTTTTAATCATTTCACGCCAATCAAGACGATAAAGCCACTAAGATGAAAAGGGTTACCAAGACAGAAAGAAACGGAGAAAATGTGACCGATGAGAAAAGGCAATAAAAGAATTGGATTCAAGGAGACAGGAGATGACGATTCATGTTGCATTTACATTCTTGAGGATTGTAATTGACACGAAAGCAAAATACTGGAAAAGAATTCTACCAGCAAGAAGTGCTAAAGAAGAAGCTATTAAAATAGAACTTACGTTTACAATTATCAATTTCGACAATAAAATGAAGAGAGACAGCTACCAATCTAGTATTAATCTTAAATTCATGAAGGCGTGGTATCAAAAGAAAACCCCAACAGGAGAATTGCAAAAAAAAATATGTATGTCATGATTATAATGTTGAAAATATTACTGAATGTCAGTTCAATATAAGGGTGGAAATTGAAAAAAGCTGCGATCATAAGGAGAGGAATTTAAACTGGGACACCCAGAACGACTTCTGTAGTCGTAGCTGCTGTCGTCAGTGAGAAACAGATTTGCACCTCAGTCAGCAAGAAATTTCTCTTCCATGTATGGTGCATTTATTCCAAGCTTGATACATACATGCTGACAAGTCAGGCAAACAGTTCGAAGAAAAATATGAAAAAATAAATTCTTTTGCTGAACACTAAAAGGATTAAATTTCAAAAATGTAGATTTCAAAAGCAAACATCAAGATTTTGAAAAAAAACAAAACTAAAAATAAAGCAACAATTCTTTCAGTGTTATCTGAGGAAGACATTGCACTGGAAGAAGACGATTTTTCTGAAAAAAGAATTTTTAGCCGTTTATAAATATTGCATCAATATAACATTAAATAAGTTTTCTCCTCTCATATTTTCACTTTTTATCCCAGTCTGCTTCTATGCTTCTATGTTGATATTTAGCTTTCTATTTATGTGCTAATCTTATTGTATATTATATATATATATATATATATATATATATATATATATATATATATATATATATGTGTGTGTGTGTGTGTGTGTGTGTATGTGTGTGCTGCCAATGATCTCTCTCTATATATATAAAAATATACATATATATGTGTGTGTGTGTGCCAATGTTATCTCTTACTCACTCTCTCTCTCTCTCTCTCTATATATATATATATATATATATATATATATATATATATATGTGTATATATATATATATATATATATATATATATATATATATATATATAATGTGTGTATGCGCGCTTATATTTTTTTCCTATCCTTAATCCTACAATACAATCTGATTTCCCTTCCCACGTGTTTTCTTCAAACATTTTCTTAATCTTCTTTTCATCTTGCGCTGTAAATATTTGCCTACCACAAAAAAAAAAGAAAAAAAAGAAAAGAAAAGTGAAGTAAGGAATATGTAACTCTAATTAATCAAACCGATTTCTTCGCAACAAAGAATCCATTGATAAATCACTTTTTTTTATCAATATCAGTAAATAAAGGTGCATTGGATTATACGAGAAGCACTGAAAGGTTCTTGGCGCTACTCCTCTTCCAAAAATCTAACCACGAGATTTTTTTGGAGAATGTTTCTTGATCAAAGCGAAACCATGTCAACAGATATGACAAAATCTTCAAGTATGTAATGGAACGAAGGAATTTTTATACTAAACGTGACTCAGTTCAAGGCTCGGGATCCACTCAAGGTAGAGGGTTGTTTTTAAGATGGTTATAATGAATGAGGTGTGATATAAATATAAGAGGAGGTGGTAGGAAGTGAAATTCATGAGGATAGTGGGGGATAGATAACGATTATCCCGTGACGAGCTTATGGGTTTAGTGATCAGAGAAAAAGCCACGCAGTATTTTTTCCCAGTTCTTGGGGAAAAGCTGTCTAAGAGATGTTGCTACTCTTTGGCAGGAAATGTGAAGCAACACGTTTATCTGAACTTAAAACAACGAAAATCACGAAACAAGCTTTGCAAACAATAGTTTTGCCTTTCATATGAACGCTTCGAAAGAGAATCACGCAAGGCTATTATTACAAATCAGCAAATCTTATTTCTTATTTAGTTGAACCGATTCTTAGAAACGTCTACTCAACAGATTTCGTAAGACCTGTCAAAAATTGTAGCTGATAAGAACCTTTACAGGTAAAGGAAATTGAAGAAATCTTTTATCTCGTGTGCGTATTTGTTTCCTTATCAGTTATTGACCAAAATCAATCCAAGTAGTTTAGTTTGCATCTTTAACGACTGAATGCTTCAGGTTTATTTCAGTTAACCTAAGTTTCTTTGGAAAGTTACAAGCTCCTTCGAGTCTGCCATAGCAGATACCTTCCGTTTTTTATCATGAAATTAATTTAAAAAGAAAGTTATTTAAATGGTTGGAAATCTATTTTAATTTTAAAATTGTCAAATTGTCCATAACCGAGTCTACACTCAGCCAGTTTTTTTATTGTCACAGAAGTCGAAATTAAATTTTAAATTTCCTTCTTTCTTTTCCATTACGGTATTGTTAAAATGGATCTGAGTTTCTTTGAAGAAAAAAAAACAGATTAAATTCATTCAACAAAATGAGAAACGAAATTTGTCCTGTTGTTCTGAAATATTCCCTTTTCATTTTGAGATTGTTTGCATTTCTACCTTTCAATTGATATTTACTTCATAATTCATCAAATAAGATTTGAAATTCCGAGATAAAATACTATTGATAAATTGCTTGAACTATTATCTTTTTCTTTGTTGTTTCAATCACTATGTTGCGACTATCGTGTTGTCAGCTTTCTCCAAATGTATATTAAATAATGAACTGGTTGAAATGGTTTGATAAAATAATGAGATTACTGGGATTAATGATTCATGTAATGATAATAATAGTTTATCTCGGAACTTTTCATCAGTATGAACAAGGGATGTGTTATTTGCATTGTAGGAATTATCGGGGATAATCCTCTAAAATACAGTATCTAACATCATGAAAGAAATATTTTTCCATTTAGGAGAATAATCGTTTAAAGAATAGAAAAAGTAAGGGTCCTAACCCTGTATATGAACGTAATAGGCAAAAGTCGATGTGCCCTGAAATTTTGTTCATCAAGAAGAAAATTCTTAGTTTTTAGATACGAAAGTTTTCAGAAAGAAATTGGGCGAGTGGTGTGTGATTGCAATTCTTTTAGATCCAAAGTTGACTGCATCTATTGTTTTTTGAAAGGCATCATCAAATCTTAGTCTGAAATTTATTCAAACCAGCCCATTCCTAAATCAGTATTTATATATATTTATATCAGGATATATATATATATATATATATATATATATATATATATATATATATATATATATATATATTGTGTGTGTGAGAGAGAGAGAGAGAGAGAAGGGTTGATATTTGCCCACTCGCACGAAGAGAGCCAATGGCGGATGACGAGGTTCTACCCACAAACACCGGTATTTGTGCGACAGTCGTTCATGGCTTACACAACACTACGTGGTCTCTCAGCTTCAGACAGACTTGATCGAAGAATCGGTCAAGATAATTGGAGACAGCCTGTGCTCCATGCGATTCGAGTAGCCAAAAGGTAAGACACCTATTGGGTCGTTAATACACAAATCCTATGACAATGATATGACCTCTGCCTGTCTATATTTCTGAGATGAGGTATTATAATTATTTACACTATTTACACTGTTCGGAATGTTGTCCTCATCTTTGCTGCCATATCACCACGTTTCGGCCGTCGTATGCTCCAGCCTTCTTCGTGTGATTGGAATTTCAAAACGAACCCTTTATTTCGTCCTCCGGGGTAGATTGTTCTAATTCCACGTGTCATGCCCCTACAACGACCGAAACGAATATGGCAACAAAGATGAGAACAGTCGGGACAATGTAAATAGTGTAAATAACCTCTATATTTATTTAAAATTATTTTCTTACTTTTTATCGAATTTGTTTGTTGGGCATATACCAGAAACAAACTAAACCTATTTTTGTCTTTCTTTTATGCTGCTAATTACTGTACATGTGACCGGATCTCTATCGCCGAAAATAACGTTTGACGCACACACATAAGAACAATAACGAAGATAATGTAAAATAGGCATTTTGTTCCTTACAACTTAAAAAAATATGTGGGACTATTTTTCATGATAATAAATCAAGCAGCAATTTCACCAAACTATGACTGAGTCTTACCAACTGATTATTACAACAATAAGGAATTATTATACTGTGATTATAAGCAAATCTTGATCTCTTACCTAATATAGACGGGTACTCCAGCCCGCATGCAGAGACAGATATCTGTGTGTATGATTGAGTATGTGTATAATCTCCTGCAGTGTAAGGTAAAATTCTCCTCTTGAAAGTCATTTCTAACAAGGTGTCTTCTCTATGACATCTGCATAACTCAGGGCTTTTGCCAAAATTTGTCAAGTCAGACCAATCTTAACACAGGTGTGCAAGTATAGATGGAATTAAGAGTAGCTACTTTTTTCACTTGTTTTATAATTCCTTATAACTTATTAGAAATGACATCAAAATTAATTGCCAATAGAGGATGGGGTCCATTTACATCTGTTTCATTTCGCAGAATGATATACTCTTTTCCTCATCCATACTATTCTTCATGCACACTCATACATAAGTCTTTTTCATTCTATATTTCAACCTCTTTCACTTTCTTGACATCGATTTTCAAGTTCCTTCTTTCTTTATGTCGTCGTCGTCGTCGTCGTCTCTCTCTCTCTCTCTCTCTTTCAGATCTTTTCCTTTTCTTTTGCATTCTTTCTCTTCCTCGTTAACACTCTTGGACAACACTCCTTTCCCGAAAGCCCATGGGAAATCAATCGCTTCATGGAATTCCAATCGTTTATTTTATTTTTTCGAGAAACAAATATATGAAAATTAGCTGAAGTTCAATTTATGTGTCTCAATAAAAAAAAATGTGGGGATGCAAAGACAAGTAAATGAAGTGACATTTAAAATGATATCCTAATACCTATACACACACACACAGACACACACTAAAAATAACATATAACTCTATACATATATACATATACACAAATATGACGCATACAAAATAGTTTATATATATATATATATATATATATATATATATATATATATATATTGCATCTTAAGATATATATGTATATATTTGTATGTATAGATGTTTATATATAAACATGCCATATATATATATATATATATGTGAAAAGTGTGTGTATATAGATATAAATAAATATATATATATAATTATTTATATATTATTTGTGCGGTACTTATTAGAAAGCGCTCAATATCAGAGATAGAGCTAACATATTTGGTTGCGTTTGTGTGTGTGCGTTTATAAATAAATGCTTGTGAATATATGTGTGTGTGTGTTTGTGTGTACATAAAGACAAAAATGCACCATATTGAAATAACGAAGAATACGTATGTGTTCTAAAAGGGTGTCCCCTAATAAAATATAATTTTGTTCCAATCAGTACCAAATTAATGAACTGTCAATATTTTTTCATTGACTTCCCGCCAGAAGCCTTCAAGAAATCCATTCTAATTTTAAACAACATTTCAAAACAACTGCTAAATTTAACCGTAATCTATATTCTAATGGTTCCATCTCTCGCAGTTTTCGCCTAAAGTTTTACTTTTCTATCAACTGCAATCTTCAAAAATTTAAATGCAGCGTCAAACGCCTTTTCTGTCTTCTTGAATCCTGTTCTTTATATTGTCCACCCTATTTAATAAGGTTTTTCAGTTTCCTTCAGTTTCCGTAAACCTTTGCGTTTTTGTGGACTTTATTGCCTTGATTTGATTGAAATCATTTTTTTAAATGTTGCTTTATTTAAATCCTCCAAAACAATCACTCGAGCTGTACTGTAAGCAAACTATCTGTTAAATCTATTTTTCGCTAACGCATCTTAGTCTCTCGCTTGCTGCTAAATGTTTTCATTATCCGTATCATTTTTATGAATTTTTAGAGCTCAAATCATAAGGCTTTTTCCTTTACAAGATGCAAAATATCTGCAGTCAATATGTACACGGCTCTAAATTTGACCCAAGCGATTGTTACTTAACCAGTTCATCAGTCATCAAACTCTACAAAAATAAGTCAATATTTATTCTGGCGTCGAAAACACCAGAAATATCCGAGAGGAGAACTTGCACGGATGTTGAAAACTTTTGCGAGGCAAAACATTATTTTTTTTATATTTCGATCTTATTTTATTATCGTAGATTTTATGAACCATAAACAAAATAGAATTCATTAAAGTAGAAATAAACAACCATTTTTATTTTGTCCTGTTTATTCGCAATGTTGCAAATAGTATCAAATAAATATAAACTCGTTACGCACTATAGAGTCTCCCCCAAGATCGGAAATAAGACCAAAAGATTGTGTTGCGTCAATTTTCGAATTTGGACGGCTTGCCTAACTTGAAGTGAAGCAACAATATCTCATCCTTTTATTAGGACTCGAAAACCGACGTTTGTGAAGGTATTTCAACCTCTGAATAAACTTCTATCAACTATATTGTGTTATTATTATTATTATTATTATTATTATTATTATTATTATTATTATTATTATTATCACTATTTTGTGTACCTTACAAAACTGAACAACTGATTACTGGCTTAATATAGCGGGAAATTCATTTTTCGTTAATTTTTTCTTATCGAATTTTATTGATTTTTTTTTTGCTTTCAAACTTCTGTTTTTATTTTTTCCTGGAAAAATGAAAACAAAATTTTAGAAATTCGATATTGTCACGTGTGAGAAATTTCACCAAAATACGTTTTCTTTTTCATACAAAGAGCCACAGTCAATAGACGCTGTGCAAAATGTTATTCGTTTCTTAATAAAGCATTTCGGTGTAGATATTTTGTAAACTTAGTCGGCAACAATAGACCAAGCAACAGGGAGTGAAATGAGTGAGTCTGCAACATTCTTCAAGAATTGCCAGCTGAACATCCCATTTTTTCGTAGACGTTCTCAACTCAAATGAACATTACACGTTTTTCTAACAGGAGCATTCTTTTACGAATAATTATCTATTTTGCTTTAAATTTACGTTTCAAGTTTGTGTGCACATGCATCTATATGCGTTTACGTACAAGTATGTGTCTATATGCGCTCGTATGTGTGTGTAGCTATATACGTTTATAAGGGTGTGTATCTGTATGAGTTTGTAAGAGTGTATATCTTTATGAGTTTAAATACCTGTCTGTCTATGTGTTTGTATGCGCGTGTATCTGCATCCGTTTATATACGTATATGTCTATATGCGTGTGTATCTATATGCGTTTGTAGGGGTCTGTATTTATATGCGCGTGTATCTATATACGCATGTATCCATATGCGTATGTATCTGTATGAGATTATATACATATCTCGTTTTTATACGCGTTTATGCGTATGCGTTTATAGACGCCTCTATCTATATGCGTGTTTATCTTTATAAGTTTATAAACGTATGTATCTATATTTGTATGCTTGTGTATCTATGTGAGCTAGTATGCGTGTATATCTTTATGCACGTTATATATTTATCCCTTACGCGTATGCGTGCGTGTATGTGCGTACATTATTTGAAGCCGAGTTCAAAATGTCTGCGGCACAAATTTATTAAGAAAAATTGAAGATGACTTTTAAAATCCTGATTGCTTATTGCGACTCTCTTTTCATCCAGTTGCTTTTGAGATAAAAAGACACATTTCAATTTCTCATCACTTAAAATTTGACCGTTATTCAGCGAATGACGGTGATGTCGATTCTTTATTAAAGAGGATCATGTTTGAGAATAAAAGGGAGATTTTCATGTCAGGAATGTAGTTAAGCAAATGAAAGACTGGCTTATGCATTTCCCTTGAAACATATTCAATCTCGAACGATTGTTGTTAAGCGACGACTAACAAACGTATCTCGTAAATTTCTGCGAAATTAGTAACTTCTGTGGTGGTCTAGCACCAAAATAAACAAAGCTTACCTAAAAACTTCACTGGTGGCAAACAATTCCATCATTAATAAGTTGGTACTACAGTTAAATACTCTTAGTGCTCATTATAGTTAGCCTTGCACCAAACTAAACTAATTTTAGTCTAGTACTCTTCGTTCCTGGCTCTGCAATTGGTCAAATCATCATTTCTCAAACAAGCTTCCTTTTCTTTAACAAATTCCTCTCCTCTTTCTCTCATTCATTAGGTCTTTTCATTTTCTGTCTCTTTTTTTTTCCTTCCTTTTCTGTCTTTCTTTCTGTCATTTTCTCTCACTGCTTTTTCTAATTTTCCCTCTTTTAGGAACTTGTTCTCTCTCTCTCTCTCTCTCTCTCTCTTCATTTGTTTTCCCCTCCTTCCTATTCTTCCACTTTCCGGCATTTCGATCCATTTAAACCCTTTTCTCTGTCATCCATTCTTTATTTCTTCCCCTCTCTCCGTGTCTCTTTCTTACTATTTCTCATTATTTTTTTCTATATATTTACCTCTTCTCTCCTTTCTAGTCTATCTTTTTTGTCATTCTTCTCTCATTTTTCATCAGGCTAGAAAGTCATGTAACAATTTCATGTCTCGTTTAAACCAACACAGCTGGGAAGCTTCTATCACTGTTGAAAGCAATTAAGAGCACCAGACATTTTATCAAAGAGAGACTTTGCAGCAGCAGAAATTGCTTTCCTTGTGGCTAGCCAGGCACCTTCGATTTCCATTGGTTGAGCGAGGATTTGGCCTTGTTTGCTTTAGGGAAGCAGATGATACGCACAAGGAAAATAAAATCCACTTGGCACGGGTAGGGCAACTAGTTAATTTCAACCTTCGTAGATGGTCGACCTGATAAATAGCCTTCAGATAGCCGGAGGAAATGGTTTATCGTGCTAGAATATCATAGAATATCTAACTAGCTAGCATCTATCTATCTATATATATATATATATATATATATATATATATATATATATATATATATATATACAGCAAAAACAATACAAAATTACCTTTATGTTGGGGTAATTTTTGGTTTTGCTAAAAAAAATACATACATATGTATTTTTTACAGCAAAAAACAAAAATACTAACATAACTCTATAATAAAAATACATCGAGCTCTCTGTGGATCAGTTTTAATAATTAATATTAGTAGGATCGACCTCGATTATATACCAACGGATCGATTACCTGTACTATATATATATGATCCAAAAAGTGTGGATGGTCCGACACAAGCCTTCACCACTTGAAAAAAATCATTGTTTTCAGACAAATACATCTAATTAGTTCTTACAATACATTCTCCTGTACTGTTTGTGGTCTTTTGTGCAGTTCTCGAGCCGGTTTCAAAAGTCATGCCCGTCATAAGCATATAGATTAGTTCGTGGTCGTCGGAACCTCATACGTCGAACTCGACAGGAGAATCCATCATATATATATATATATATATATATATATATATATATATATATATATATATATTGATGCATATTTCATCAAATAATATAGACAAGTTTTGTCTATTTATTTTAAGTAAGTTCCTTTCATATTGTCTGATAAGGTTAATAACATTATCATTGAAAGACAAAAGGAAATCACCATATACATGTTTAAATCCAATCTAAGCTTTCGGCTTACATAAGCCATTATTATAGATGACAATTACATTTCAATATATCAGACAATACATGGACGAAACAATAATGATAATCTGTTTTTTGTTGCATGAAAAATTTCAAAGCAACATGCATCAATGAAAAATTGCTGTCTAAATGCACATTGAGTTTAGTGCTTCGAGAAAGACGGTAGAAACTACGCGTTAGAGTAAGTAAATTTCCCCGAAAGTTAGAGGAATCACTTTTTGAGTAATAACGGCTTGCGAAATGACGTTACAAATCGCTGCCCAGTGCATGTATATACATTCATATCTATCTATTTAGTAAATTGACATCGACGAGCACAAAACCAAATTGATGAAGAGAAGGAAAATATTTTGTGCAAATATTTCAAGTGGTGATAGCCTTCTGGTCATGAAAATCAGTATCTGAAGAACCTTACTTTTACTTGAACGTGAATACTTACAAATTGAAAATGCACAATTGCATCAGTCAATCTACAAGAAATGTGTGTATATATATATATATATATATATATATATATATATATATATATATATATAGTTCATGAATGTGCGTGTGTGGCAGTGTATGAGAGAGAGTGTGTATTTGAATATATGTAAAAGTATCCAGGTAGCGTGATTCTTTTCCTGTCTTGGCTTCCATAAACTTAATAAGCTTAATGCGCATGACAGCATTTTGCATCCGTTGCAAATTGATAGTCGCGTCAAAGATCTCACCAGCACCAAGGCCAGACATTTAAACAAGTTTATCGCTACTCACAGATTGCTTATCTGGCAGTATACATGCAGGCAGAGTCAACAAAAGTCAGAGAGAATAGAGATAAAGAGATGAGAGAACGTGGAGGAAAGAGCGGGAAATGAGAGAAAAGGAGAGGGAAAGAGAGATTGGAAACGAAAAGCGTTATTAAAATTGTTTTCATTCACTTTTTCTATTTTATGACATTTTTCGGTTTTGCACTTTAATCTTTTATTTTCGGGTTGGTGTTTGGTGTCCTCCGAACAACAGTGTGTTTTTTTTTTAATTCAATTAATTATAATAAAATTTGATTTATCTCGTCTAGAAAGAGATTTTCCTTTCATTTCTCTCATTCTCTTCAATTTTCTTTTAATTTCTCTCCCTCTGTTTTCTTTCTCTTTCCCCTCACTATCTTTCATCTCTCCTCTCTCTGTTTTCTCTTTATCTTCTATTCTCATTTGTCTTTCCTTTCCAACTAATCTCTATTGCACTCTTTTTCTTATCCATTTCCATGTCTTTCTGTTTCTCTTCTCTTTTTGGTTTTATTTTTAGTTCATTTCTGTTCCTCCTCCTCATTCTCTTCTTCTCCTTCCCTCTATTCATTTTTATCTTTTCAATGTCATCTGTAGTAGAAACTCATACCTTTCTTTGAGTTTTTCATTGCCTTCGAGCTTCTCTTCCTTCTCTCTTTCTTGATCTATCTTTCTTTCTTCATATCTTCTATACTGTTCATTCTTTCTCCCCCCCTCTCTCTTTCGTACTGCCCTTTTCTCTATTTCTTTTATACCCACTCTTCTTTTCTTTTCAATCTTCTTTACCCACTCTCTATATCTCTCTCGCTTTCTCCCTACTCTTTTCCTTTTTCTTTTCGTCCCTAACCCTAAGACAATTATTTTTCCTCCAATTCTCCGATGTTGGTTTTCTCCTCTCTACCGGTGCTTGTCGCCTCTACAGCGACATTGTTAAGGGCCAAACAGAATCATTTACACGCAAATCGACGCAGGAAATGTGGGAACGCAGCAAGGCGCTTGCAGCGGGGTGGAGACAAAATCTTTACACGTTCGTTTGCATGCGTGCGAAACACTTTCACTGGCACAACCAGTGCAACTCAATGTTTGCTGTAAAAAAAATGAAAAGAAAAGAAAAAGAAAGGAATGAAAATTTTTTTTTTTTTAAGCAACTGCGTCGTCTTGCCATTTATTTTTCGATGCCTATCCTAAACTTTTGTCTTGGGATACAACATAAAAATACCCGAGTGCGTGAACACACACACACAAACAAACAAACACACACAAACACACACTCACAAGAAACGACTAATGTTTTCTATACAAAATCAATCACATAAGTTAACCGGAGTAGAAAAACATATTTCTAAGTAAAATAAATGGGTGAATAACAAATTGGAACAGTTAGATTTCAGTAAATCACTCATCACGAATTTTCTCCTTAATTCAATACGCACTTAAAAATAACATGAGTGGACTAAATATCACGCACCAGATATTGGTAAATAATCTATTAAAATAATAAAAATTAATGACACTAATTTGCAAGGGAATAAACAACTTTATTATTAAACTGGTGGAAAGAATGTAGACTTATGATTTTACATAAGGGACAACAGTCTTTCTTACGACCATCCTACAAAGTATCACATTAGGCAAAAAAAGGGGCAGATAGAGGTAAATTGTCTGTCAGCGTCACTGAGGGAGTGAGTAGAATATACTTCACAGGGAATCAAACAGTGACACGCAATCGAGACATAATGAAAGAGCTGATCAGCTGTATTATGACCCTACGGCCACATCTGGTCATGAAACTGAAGGTGGATCT